CTTAGATCCTCCCGCAACTACTGTTGCATCGGTCTACTACTGGTTCTGACAGAACGTCTCCAGGTACTTCTGTTAAGTCAAGAAGATTTCGATGGATCGTCATGACAGTTGGTGGTTAGGTCTTGACGAGACCTCGAATAATGATAAGAAACCCCCCGGCTTGTTATGGTACTGCTATCTCGCGATATATACATGCTAGGGTCATGACTTTCGGGAGGTAGATAGCTGTTGGGATCCATAGAAAGTCACATAGCTTGGACATCCTATCTAGCTAGTAGCTTGTTCCGAAACTACAAGACGATTTGTAAATCTTCGAGAGAGGATAACTCCAGAATCAGTTGACGGATCGTCATGATTTTTGGTATATAGGTAGCTGTGATGATTAACATTATTAAATCATTATTATTGTTATCATTAAACAATTGCCAAGAAACTATTGGCATAATTAATGGGAAATGTTAGAACATACCTTATCTATTAAGATAGGACTGACTATCATCGGGTGGAGATTATAATCAATTGAAAGGATACATGCAAATGAGGCTCTTTTTGCATAATCAGGGAGAAAAAGCATACGTAGTCATTTCAAACGTGTGACAGGCTGAATAAAAGTTCTAAACGGGAACTATGCGGCACCAGATGTCTTACTTAGGGACGACTGCGTATACTATACTACGAAATGTCGGTTAGCTCAAGGATCGAATCGCCTCTAAAATATGGTCATTTCAAACGCTAAACATGATTTAGCGAAGGTATGAGATCCTGGAACTCTTTTTTCATTATATATCCACTGCTGAGGTTTGGAGCTGAAAGTGATGTAACTTGGTGCCTTGTTTGGAACTATTGTGGGCGTTGTGGGCGTGGTCAGTGTCGATGTCTTTGTGTGACGTTTATATCAGTAACTGTTATATTAATTGTTGTAAATTCAGCTCTTGAAAATGACAATTTCTGCCTGATCTCAATCTTTACCTGACATACACATGTTCATCGATTTCCTTGGAGTATAACTGATCATAACTGCCAACATTTGATACACAGAAACAGCCTTCGCTTGCGAGGGCGGCACCGTAAAGCTGTTTTGCTCGGACAGAAAGACGCTGTTGATCTTGGACGCCAACTACGGCCGCACGTCCGCCTCCCACTCCTGTGCCTGCTCCAACTGTCGCACCGACTGCCGCTCAGACAACAGCCTGGCTGTCGTGAGGGCCGCCTGTCAGGGCTATCAGCAGTGCACGATAACGGCGAGCGATGACGTTTTCGGTGGAGATCCCTGTAACGGGGTACAGAAGTACTTGGAGGTATCATATCGCTGTATCTCAGGTAGGCATATGGTGTCACTATAGAATGTTCAGTATTTTTCATCAAATTAGGCCCCTTTCCACTAGACAGCGATCCTTGAGCGACCATTGAGCGACCAAAATCAATTATGTGTGATATATTTGCTTTGTAATAAACATACAAGACCACAAAACACACGAGTTTTTAAGCTCTCCCCTTTCAAAGATATTTAAGCATTTAAATTACATTTTGTAATAAATTGTTGCGAGCAAATAGAACTTTTATCTACGACTAGGATAATCTTACAATTTTAAAAAATTCGATATGAATCCAGATGTAGGCACACAGTATGTCCTATATTGTCATTAGTGCATGTAATGTTCAAAGTCCATAGGAGATTAGACAAATCAGAGAATATGTTGTCTCCATTCCTTATGTAAATTAGGTCCTTATTTGCATAAAGTACATCTCATTATGTTTATTTTCAACCTTCCAAAAACAACGAAAACCGTTTTCCCGTGTTTTAGTTATTCGTAATCTAAATTTGAAACAAGAAGGCCCTCTGTTTAAAACAAGCCGCTAGGGGGCCCGACCTTACGGCACTCAATCTATGTTTGAAATTCACTGTCTTAAAATACTGACTATAGCTCTTCCAGAACTTTGACGCTTCCGAAACTTTGAAGCCCGCCTGCAGTACCGTACATAGCCGCTAAGAGGCTCGTTATCGAACTTGACCTTTCTTTTAATAACCATAACTCCTTACTAAATATCATCACAATCCATCCACAGCATCTGGAATTTTCCTGCTCACATCGTGACAAACACAAAAAGTCCAGCAGTGACGTAGGAACCTGCCATAGGTTTGAAAGTCGAACTTCACCTTCCTCGAGCTCATTGTTGGCCCTACTCATCTACTTACCATATAATTTCATCACAGTCCGTCATCAGCATCTGGAGATATCTTGCTCACAAAGTGACAAACACAAAAGGTCCACTGCAGCGACGTAAAACCTGCCATTATGCCAAAATTTGACCTTGACCTTCCTCTGTTCTGAATCTAGCCATGATCCATTTACTGAATCTCAGATTACCCTCTTCACAAAGAAAAGCAAACTGTATACTGTAGTGACGTAGTGACCCCCAACAAAGCCCCTTTACGAAGTTGAGCTTCGTTTCCACAACAGTAACCTGTCTGTCAAAAATTATTAACATCCACCCATGACTTAGATTTATGCCGTATAAATTCACAGTCATTCCATCGTAGTTGTACAGCTGCTCCATCAGGTCTAAACCGAAAACATACGACGAAGGCAAAGACCTGGATAACCTGAGGCCATTTTTCACTCTTTTTCCCTGCAGAAAGTAACGTTGCCTTAGGGAAGACAGCAGATTCTAGTCCTTTTCAAGCACGGTGGGGACCGGAGAAGGCTGTAGACGGTTTCAGGGGTACGAATGTAGGTGTGCACAACGAGTGCACTCACACTAACGAGGTGTACCAACCGTGGTGGAAGGTGGACCTGGCAGATACCTACACTGTCAACCGGGTCAGTGTGCTGAACAGGGGAGACTGCTGCGGTAAGTTTATCTAATTATGTAGGTTATAAAACACTGTAGTACCTCTATGAACTATTCAAACACTATGTCTTACATTTATGAAGGTTACTCATCCTGGAATACATTACGTATAAAAACTGGTTTAATCAATACAACTGGAAATAATACAAAGGGAAAGAAAGTCACTTTAGTAGTTTCTTTCCACTGATGACGATCATTTGGTCTATGTATCAAACTAATAGTATGTAAAATTTTCACACGCGTGTTACCGAGTTAATAGTTTGGGATAGTTTCCTGCAACTGCCGTAAGTTATAAACTTTAGTTGCTAAAAATTATTAACGGGCTAATGTTCCAATTTTAAGACCCTGAAGATTAATGTAATTATCGCCCTGTGTCACTCCTCCCTACCTTGAAAAAGGTCCTCGAAAAACAACGTTTACAAACATCTTTATAACCATATTATTTCAATCTTATCTATCCTCTCCAGTCTGATTTATACAGGAAGATTCAACTGTGTGTCAGCTAGTTTACATTTGTCACACTATTCTTAAGGCTTTTGAGGAAGTGAAAGAATTAAAAGTACTTTTTTTTGTTTTCCTTGACGTTTCGCGGATCCACAGCTATTCATGTGGCCGGTCACCGGGAGTAGTGATATATGGACAGACTTCTCCTTTGTCCAAGAGCAGTGCAGGTTTTCCCCAAGGCTCCGTGTTAGGCCCATTACTGTTTATCGTATATATAAATGACATTGTCGATAGTTGAAACTGTTTACCGTTTTTATTTGCGGGTGATAGTTCCCTGCTTGACGGAGTTGATGGCCCGACCGCATCTGGAAGTTCGTTCTTTATGATACCGCTTGTTCCAGAAACACCTTTAGATTAGTGCGTCCTCTTCCCCCACATTACAAGTGAGGCCCACGTTACACCTGCGCCCTTCTTGTTCGGCTCCGCATCGGCACCTGTGCTCTCAATCACAGTTGTAAAATAACAGTTAAGAAACCTCTTGTCTCTCTTGTCTAGTTTTCCCTCTTTGTTTATTTTTATACCCCAATTAATCAAAAAGGGACTCTCTACCAGTGCCTCCTGTAGACGTAGGTGTTGTTGTGAATCTTGCACTTCATGCTTCATCGTACACTATACAATTATCAGAGATCGGAACTTTTTAGCAATCCTTTCGATTTACTTGTTTATCTTTTTAACTTTATTTATGTCAGATAATGCTAAACTGCACCTTATTCTTAGAGGCTCAACGTTGTTACCCTCTATGTACAACTTTAAAATGATGCAACTAACTCAGACGTACATTTGAGAAACCAAGATCTTCTAGCTCTGCTCGACTGTCTTTAACAGTCAATTAGATATAGAAGTCCAAAAATCGACATTTTGTGTTAAATGCCCTAATTTCCCCTCTAGCTCTCCTAGCTCTAATTGTCGGTTATGCTTCCACCAATGAGATAAAGGAGGTCAACACGTAATTCTTAGAAGCCACTCCAGCTCAATAAATATTTTGATCTACTAACTACTAACTTAAGTAAGTACATGTCAACTACATTTTCATAGGGCTAATCTAATACAAAAGTGGGTGGCTAGTATGAGATAGGTATCAACTTATACAATCGTTTAAGGAGTTTCTAATATCCATACAGTCTTTAATATATATATCCCTCTGTATAGCATGTAAGGGTTGTCACAAGTCAATATGTATTTGAATTTTCTTTCCAAGTTCATTGTGGTGAATGCTGGTATATATACATGTATAGGAGAGCGACTGAGGAACTTTATGGTGCGAATTGGTCCTAACGAGGACTTCACCCGGAATGACCAGTGTGGAGAGACTTACACGGCAACCCCGCCCAATGGAGCGACAGTCGTGGTGTACTGCAACCAGCCGATGACTGGCCGTTACGTCTCCATTCAGCTGATCGGACGGGCGGACATCCTCCAACTCTGCGAGGTGGATGTCTTCGCTGAAACAGGTAAGAAAGAAGTTTTAAGTTAAAACATTTGTTCCAACAGAAGGCAATGTCCTTTCTAGAGCTTTCTAAATCAGTTACTCTGGTCTTCCTCAATAAATGACCCAGTCAGGTGGCTTTTCTGAAGTGTGACGTCAACGGTGACAGGGTCAAAGGTAGCTGGCAAACGATGTCGGCCTCCGTCACGGTTTAGTGATGGGTAATGGGGCCCTGATGTAGATAGACACAGAAAGTAGTCTTTTTTGATGTTCAGGAACCAGAAAAACGAAAAGGGTGATCAATTTAATTTGAACGAAAAAGAACAAAACGAACAACAACTCACGGCGCCCGTCGGGGATGTAGCCCGGGCTCAGGAGTCGGCCGGGCATCGGCTGTCATCGTCAAAATTAAAAGTTTCCTTCAGTAGCGTTTTGTTTAGAAATCTGTCACCCTTTAAAAATCTGTTGCCCAAAAACGGAAACACTCAAACAATTAACTGGAATAAACATTTTTGCGTATTTATAAGTAAATGATACAAAAAAGTTTGGTTGGTACAAAGGTTATAATGTATTAACCGTCAAGGTTATACGTTATGTATCAACTATGACCACATAGAAAGTATCACACAAGGCATAATGAGTTAAGTGGTTCAAAACCATTGAGTCTCCTAAGTGAGTTCGGAGCTGTCAAAAAACGGCTGATTTCCTATGAAATTGCTAAAAAAATATCTGTTGCTGACTTTGTTATTGCCTTTCTTAGCCGCTCGGTGTCCTTCTGGTTGGCGTACGTACGGAAACCGCTGCTACAAGTTGGTGGAGACGAAAGCCAATTGGTATACTGCAAAGAGCCGATGTGAACAGTACGGCGCACATCTTTTATCTATCACAAACGGTGACGAGAGCAAGTTCATCGAAGGTCTCATCTCTAACGGTAGGTACAACACAAATTGTCATTTACAATAACTAGGTCTGCAGATAATCTATAAACTTTCCGAATTGATAATGTGAAATAATAAGCATCTTACGTCAAGCATCACACGTAAGCTACCTACACACCAAACATCCCAACCAGTTCTTCAAAGAAACGCCCCTGCAGTTCCAGAGCGAAAGGCAAGTTGAAAAAAAAAGATACAAGCGCTATCTACTATTAAACATTCATGGCACTAGCAAGTCCAGATCACGAGATATTAAAATCAGAAGTTACACCGCAGTACCATAAAAAGCCGCCAGGCCGGGTGTCAAAAATCTAATCATTTCAAGACATCATCAAGACCTACCCACATGCAGGATGTTAAAACTATCCACCTCTGCATGCCACACACACGCACACGCACACACACACACACACACACACACACACACACACACACACACACACACACACACACACACACACACACACATACGCACGCACACACACACACACACAGACACGTGCACGTGCACACACACACACACACACACAGACAGAGACGCACACACGTGCACACACACACACACGTGCAGACACACATCATTGGACCTAATCCCCTGTCACACATTCACGGATTTGGCCTCCTGATCACTGTACGTATGTGACAGGGGATTAGGTCTATTGATGTTTTGTTCTTAATTGCAGTTCGTAAAACAATAGTCTGGATGGGACTTAGGAAAGGCAGCAGGTGGTACTGGGTAGATGGATCTGGAGTAACCTTTTTGAACTGGTTTCGCGGTGAACCCAACAACGAAAGTTATATGGAGGCCTTTGCAAAAGATGTGAATTGTGCTGGCATCTACACCAAGGTATGTTCTCCTTTTCTGTCTTCAATCAATATTCCAGGTTGGGTCCCAGCACTACATATTCTGTAATTCTTTTGCTTGGTAATTTTACATTAATCTTTTATTTTGTAATTGAGGATGAGACGAACATCTGAAGATAGATTATGTAAACAAAGCCCTAATTTGCATAACTTAAGTTAAATTTCTATAATTTTATAGTGGTAAATGCCAGGCAGTTCATACCTGCCGCGTTTGGAAGTGAAATGAAGGCAAACATCAATAAACATGATTTATTCAAATCCATTTGAATGATTTATGAGTAAGTGCTACAATAGTCGTCTCTGTTAGGATAAGCTGTCATTGGGTGTAGAATATGATCAGCTCATATAATTCTTGACGGAAATGAAATGATGATCTTATTTTTAAAATCCATGAGAAGAATACATTATTTCGTCAGGCGAAATGGTAAGTGAACATAATTTGATAAGGTATAAAGTCGTGGATAATAAATGTGCAATGTTCGTAAATGTAATAAACAATGTATTCAATACTGCTCATTCTACCCGTGCATATTTGTTTGTTTCAATACTAATACATAGATCTATATTCCAACAGACTGAAAGGACGATTTTCAGAAGTACCAAAAGAGGACAGTGGTCGGACCAAGCGTGTTCCTGTAAATACGGCTTCATTTGCAAGGGAAAATTTGGAGTGCGACCCCAAACGTAAAGTGCCAGATACCACACACGTGGAGACCTCTTTAAAAGTTCACTTTAAGGGCCAGAATTTTTGTATAATTTCTCAGAAAATTAACTGGTTCTGAAACAGGCTTAAACTGTTATGTAAAAAATGGACTTACCATATTTTTCGACTTTACAACTCCACTTCTACTTACGGTATCATTAGTCCAATGAGATCTGGATATACATATACACTCATAATCATTAACTTGGAATTTCTACCAGTAATCTGTCTTTACACATATGAAAATTCTGACTTTACAAATAACTATACCTTAAGTGATACAAATAACAGACAACAGATAAACAGAGTACAAAGTATGGCGTTTAATGGTACATATTGCAAGTTTATAAGGTTAACAACCTACCGACTACAAGATTGTGAAAATTTGGGGAGGGAATGAGCTTTTATAATCCATCTAAAGTTACTTACTTGATTTAGTAAGATCTCGTAACTTATATGAGAGGACTGAGTCTAAAAACGCACGCATGGCTACAATCTTGTACGTAGTAATATAAGAAGTCCACGATCATGTGAGGGTTCAGAGGCTGGAAATTAAGCAATGGTACTGTACTGCTGTAAGTAAAGTTTTGTCAGCCATGCGACATACGGGGATCTAGAAATGCATCCATGGTTTCTTACTTATATTTAGTAACGAATTCTATGTCATTGAAGAAATATATGTTGAAATGCACTCATGGTTACTAACTTGTAAGACTAGTGTACTCTGTAAAATCACCTTTGATTAGTCATCAAAGAATGAAGACTTGGTCTAAAACTGGATTTATATCTACCTACTTGTATTTTCACTATGTACGTTCTATCTGATTATTGTTTCCAGGTCGTAGTATGGAAACTTAGTTACTTACTTAGGCCCCTTGATTACTTACTTATTTTATGATATATACGGTTTTTTTTATTCCGAAACATGTAATCACAAGACGTGGTGACGACACACTCAAGTTTTTTCAACTTATATTAATGCTGACACCAACACAGGGACAGTACAATACTCATTTACACCTGAGCGAAGTGAGGAAAGTCGTGTAAAGTGCCTTTCCCAAGGGCACAAGATCGGTGGCATGTCAGGACTCGAACCCGGGGCCTCTGGTTCCGAGTCGAGAACGCTGCCGCTGCGCCACACGACCCCACGATAATGAAATGCACGGTTTCATACGTTATATAGCAGACCTAATGCTAATAATGACTGCACACAGATGGCCAAGAAATGGAGAGGGTGGAGAAGGCTTGTGCTGGACGCTACCATAGTCCTCGAGTTAGACGAGGATGGGACCAGGTCAGGGTGAATGTGAATGCTAGAAATGCACGCATGGCTACCCGGACTTAGTGTAGTGTCGTTGGCCATTTGAGGGAACAGATTCTACAGATTCATTCATGATCAATTACTTGTATTTGTACCATTAGTCCTAAAAGAATGAATTTGTCTCATTATTCATAAAAATGAAATATGATTCCTTATGTAATTACTTGTACGAGTATTCTGGTACTCTCCATGGTCTCATAAATCATAGAAGAACTTTATTTCACGACAATTGCACATGGTACAATGTATGGCAAACTACATAAGGAGAGTAACAACAATAACTTAAGTGTGTTGAATAAGACCTAATGTCGAATAAAACCTAACATATCTATATCATAATTATTCAAATAATAAGGGATATCACAAGTCTTTGATAAAGTGTTACAATCGAGTGGAATCACAAGTTTCGGTATTTTTTCTAATAGCAAAGCATTCCTTTATATATCTACCTATTTTTGCGTTGTGGGAACCATTACATGTAAAGATATATTCAAATCTGTCTCCAACATCGAGACTCTTGAAATCTATGGTACTTGATTCGAGAAATGTAAATAGCTTGTTACGCATAACATCATATTTGGTACATTCCATAACAAAATGAAATTCATTTTCAATATGCTTTGGACAAAATGGACAGAACCTTATTTGGTCAGGGGCTATATTGCAATGTCTACCTGTTTCAATATTTAACTTATGGCTACTGATTCTTAATTGAGTTATTGCTTTACGAATTTCAAAGTTATCTATATCACAAATGTATGTTTCTTGATCATAACAGTTTTTTAATTTGCTAAGAAAAGACAGCTTAGAATTATTTCTAATGCAACTAGACCACTCTTGATCATATAAGAGACCTAAGTGTAGAAATGCACACATGGCTACTTACATGTAGGTGTACTTGTACATAGCAAGGTCCAACAAGTCAAACATGGAGCGTATACAAATAACCCATGGTTGGTGAGGTTTCTATAGTTGTATGAGAGGCCTGAAATGTATACATGGCTGGTTTGTTGGATATTGTCAAAATTGTCCTTCTATGACTGCTTATATAGAAAGGTGTCATTGGTCTTAAGGCCACAGCAAGTTAATTCTATATAAAAATATATTAAACTATAAACTATTTCAGTACTGCCAACTCTTTCCAATCTTTGACATCCAAAATATTTGTTTGTGTGCACTGTATTATGTCTGTGTATAAAGGGAACATCTGCTATGACAGGGTTCCATATAACTGTCATTTTATTTTTATCCAACTAAGTATCAATAAATTTTGCGCAAAATGTGTATGCTTTGAATGCTTATTGTTGGGAGAAAGTGTATTTGGTTAATGATAATGCCCATAACTGGGTTTCATTGCAGCTTTATTGTGATGTTTTGGGGGGAAATGTTGGTATGCATTTATTCGTTGCTGGTATAAGACCTGCTTACGTATCCTCTATGTAAAAATTAATATAGCTACAAACAGTTGATTTTCTGTTTGAGATACTTTTATTCGTCAGTAATAATGGATGTTGGCCTGTTGCTAAGTGAAAAGAACAAATATGTGCAAAGTGCCTTTCTCAAGCGTACAGCACTGATGTCTGCTAGGGATTTGAACCCAAAACCTTTGGATTCTAAAACCAGTACTAAGAATTAGCCTCTTGTTGATAATAGATCAAATACCAAGCAGATGGGGTCTGAAACTTGTTGCAAGATGCTTCATATTTCTGCTTTGACAAAGTATTAAAAGCTACGTTCTTCCAACAAGACTTAATAGTGTGTAAACATTGAATAGATTCTTCCTACTCGTACTCATGGACTACCTGACTTGTCCTTGGTGCTAGATTTACGTCCACAGCAAACTGTTCTTCAGTTACACCAAGGGGCTAAACCCCCTTGCTTACAGAGCACGACAGATGAGCCAAAACTGCAAAATGAAGTGTTCCAATGACATTGAAATTATCATTTTCATAATATAGGAAGACAACTGCAGATGTGGCTATTTTGGGTAGTGCTATCATGGCTTGTTTTACATGCATGCACACACACACACACACACACACACACGCACGCACGCACACACACGCACGCACGCACGCACACACACACGCACACACACTCGCATACACACACACACACGCACGCACACGCACACGACATTTTACGAAGACTACAAATCAAATGCGATAGGAACAAAAAAAACATGGCGGGCCAAAAAAAAAAGATTCCTACATTTTTAATGTTGACATCATAAACATTGTTAAACAAAAAATATTTATATTGTGCTAAGTTTCCTGCCAAATATTACAACATCTATTTGTCACTGAAACAACTTTGAAAAATAGTTTTCATACTTAAATGGATTTGATTTAGTGGGAACATATAAAAGGAATGAAATACATCACTGCACGAAAGTAAAAGACAAAAAAATAAGAGCCTTGTCTTGTCTCCCCTCTACATACGTATTTATCTGCCATCCACGTTATGACATGGCAAGGCATGCCATTTTGCCCGTTTTCAACATGTTAACCACTGTCAGAGGGCAACAAAATTTCTTGTTTTTTTCCCCAAATTCAGAAGAAAATTAAATGTGCGCACTGATGTCATTCATAAACATTATTTGCGGTGGCCTAAAGGACAAACAGCAATATTTCCACAATGCTTACAAACCACAATTTTATTCAGAATGTCATGCAGAATTGGAATCTTAAGCTGGAACTTTCAAAAACTTAACAATATGGGTTTTAACATTTTGTCTTATACCTGGACTAGATGGCTGTTACCAATACCATGGCTGATAACGATGTATATAAAATATGAAGTAATTCACCAAGAATACACAAATATATAGCTGGTGATGGTAAATATGGGCTTACCTGTGCTAAAATGGATTGAAAGTATCAGCATAAAAGTTCATCTGAGTTGGTAAATTACATTATGAAAAGCTTAAACTTTTCTCCAACTCAAAATTTGACTCACCAGAAATTTTCGACTGAATCACTCAGTCTTCCTCAGCTATCTGACCCAAATGACGTGGGGCCGTGTGGCGTAGCGGCAGAGTGCGCGACTCGGAACCTGAGGTCCCGGGTTCGAGTCCTGACATGCGACCGATCTTGTGCCCTTGGGAAAGGCACTTAACACGACTTTCCTCACTTCGCTAAGGTGAAAATGAGTATTGTCCTGTCCCGTATTTGTCCCGTGTTGGTGGCGGCATTAATATAAGTTGATAAAACTTGAGTGTGCCGTCACCACGTCTGGTAATTACATGTTGGAATAAAAAGAAAAGATGCTGTGGACACGTGATTTTTCCCACGTGTGACGTCAGCAAAGGGTCAAAGGTTGTCTGAAGTCGATATCGCCCCCCGTCCCGGTTGAGCGATGGTTGAAGTGCCCTGATGTACATGTATATAGCTGAGGAAGGCTGAGTGATTCAGTCGAAAATTTCTGGTGAGTCAAATTTTGAGTTGGAAAAAAGTTTAAGTTTTTCATAATGGATTGAAAGTAAGTTGTACTTAATGATTCAGTATATTTTCCCAAATGTTTGGATCGGAGTTTATCCTAGTAGAATTATTACAGATTGTCCTACATCATGTAGTAGAATTCCAATTTGTCAAAGGACAGATTCCAACATAGGATAATCTCAAATTGTCCTAGGACAGATTGGAATTCCAATCTGCGCGATTGTCCTGAATTCCAACCTCTACTGTGACATGGCCTTCTACATGTACATTGTAATTTGTATGTTGGGATACTGGGGAAGAGTGGTTATCACTTAGTGGCTGTCTGTGTCAGTAAGGTGAACCTGCACCTCAGCTCTCACTCATCCTAGAAACTCTCCAAGCTGACACCTTGCACAATGTATCATACAAATATCATTATAATAAAAATAATAAAATTTTTGACATGATTATGGAAATGTTAATATTAATAATCATAATGACTATAAGCATGATTATAACTAGAAACTTTAGGTAACATTTGCAAAGAAAATACATAATGTTTACCTTCATATGGTCTAGACTAACAAAGTACAGTACTCTGTTTATTCTTACTCAAACACATTCATGTATAATATATAAAAGTGAACAGCCACTCCTACTCTATCCTGCTACAAAATGTAATCCAGCACTACAGGCAACAGTTAAACAGCACCTGTTACCATGGTGACATACATCTGGTCCAGGTCATTGACCTTATATGTGTTTGGAGAAAAAGAAGAAGAGGAAACAAGAGCAAAAAAAAATATGTTAACTTTTCCTTCTTCAAAGGCAACATCACAATGTTGTTGCTTAGTTACATAAAAGCATATCATACACATTCACATTCAAAACAAAATTCAACACATAATTGACTGTTCACTTTTGTTTCATCCCAAATGTGCTGCGTGCAATTAAGACATGCCCTTAAATTCCTACTCTCAAGGTTTCAGGGTTCTACGGTTGACATCTACATTTATACACCAGGGCTCGAAATTCAGTTTTGGGAATAGGTGCACTGGTGCAGCCAACCTAAAAAAAATTGGAAATTGGGTGCAACAATCTTATTGGTGCACCATGCATATAAAATAAAATAAAATATGCAGAATGGTAGCAAAAACTAATTATGTTTCATTTCTAAAGAAAAGAAGTACAATATTATATTGATTTTATTATTTTTCTGACACTTGGATGTTAAGAATATGCTGTATACTACAGTATACATTTAACATCTTGACATACGTAAACCTACGAAAATATTTGGGTGCACTGGTGCATCCACAGAAAACAATTGGGTGCACAGCTCCAAATTTGGATTTCGAGCCTGATACACTGTATATAGATGCCCTAGTTTAAACCTGTTGTATCTGTGATCCTAGTTTAAACCTGTTGTATCTGTGATCCTAGTTTAAACCTGTTGTATCTGTGATCCTAGTTTAACCCTGTTGTATCTGTGATCCTAGTTTAAACCTGTTGTATCTGTGATCCTAGTTTAAACCTGTTGTATCTGTGATCCTAGTTTAACCCTGTTCTATCTGTGATTCTAGTTTAAACCTGTTGTATCTGTGATCCAGTCCAGAAAAGTCTCCACCCTGGTGTAGATGCCATACTTGTTGGGCTGGGCACAGCCCTCTCCCCATGACATGATACCCACAATGCCCCACAGGTTGTCCCTGTGTTTCACCACCAGTGGTCCCCCAGAGTCCCCTCGGCAAGCATCCTTCTCTTGGAACCTGCCGAACGGAACAGTCAACATTAGGCCACACCAATCTAATTTGTTGTTCCTCTGATTTTTTAAGAAAAAATGTGAAGCGACAGGGCGAAATAATTTATGAAAAAGGCCAACTGAAGGCACCCTATGATAGCCAGAAATGCCCCAGGCTGATTTATAATTAAAATAATAGATTTTGAACTTTTAATGAAACAAATGCATTGTTACATTGAAAAAGTAGGAAGAAAAGGACTTTCTTTAACCATTGGGGCCAAAATATGCCTTTCATTGAGCATTTTGCAGTTGATTTAGAACCCCCTCATTTTTTTTTTGCAAATGAGAAAAAAATGGACAGGGCGAATCTGAGAAACAACAAATTAAATTGGTGTGGCCTGACATGTGGGACTGTCTACAGCCTGCCCTGTACATGCATATCAATCACAAACAGCTTTACATGCAGACATGCCCATCATCAAGGCTGGCGATGATGTACATGTATGTGAACATACCAGTCATGCCCGTAGTATACTCATGACATTGTACTTGTTACTTCATCAGCTAGTGGCTTGTTATGGTGCTGCAGTGAAACTTCAAGGTTTTGCATAATTACAGGATGGTACACTCACCAAATCGGTGTAGTAAACAAGTGTACATGTACATTTTGTAGGTCTATATGATGCACATGCTAACTTAATACTAGTAAATTATTAGACTTCTGTCAAGCAACCTGGCATCTCCAGATATATTGCAAATCTGCTTTAAAATGTTATACGTGCATAGTATTGCACAGCAAATGCATACTGTGCACCTTCACATGATCTATAGCCTAACAAACTACTGCTCTGTTTATTTTTACTCAAACACATTTATATAGTATGTGGTGACCAACCCCTCCAACTTTGTCCTGCAACTTGCTACATAATGTAACCCACAGGGTGTCTGCTGTTAACTGCACCTGTTACAATGTTGACAGACATTTGGTCCAGGTCATTGACCTTATGTGTTTGGAGAAGAAGAAACCTTAAAAAAATGTTTTCCTTCTGCAAACGTAAACATAATAAGAACAAGTACTGACCTGTAACCTGCACAAAGTTGTCTCTCTGTGATGGGAACAACAGTGGACTTCTTACAGACCGTCTGTGAGACGATGGGGAGACACAGCGCCTCAGGCACCAGGGTGGGGATGCCTGGCACCTCCCCAGGGCGCACCGGGTCAGTCGCTCCCCACCCTGCAAACAACATGGTGGACCCTGCCCGAGTCTGGTACGAGTCCCGCAGGTCTCCTGTAGAATGAACACAACTTACATGTATAATATTACCCACCAAGCAGTGCCATTTTGTAAAGTTGTATGACTCCAAAATGACTCCAAAATGCAGAATGCAAGGTGAACACTCATTGAACCGACAACATTGTTAGTGAGGAGAAACTGGAATAAACTTAATTAACAATGTATAGTTACATATATTAAAATTAAGAGATGTATAAAATTATATATAATTTATATATATTATGTAGGACCTGGTACAAATGTACAAGATAAAACATTTGAAAAGATTGCTGGTTTACCCTTGGGCAGACACAGAGTCCTGACAAACGGCCCCAGCTGTGAGGGAGTGGACAGTTTGAGGAGGGCGATGTCATGGTCCAGTCTGTCCGGCCGGTACTCAGGAGGCACATGGTACTCCTGGACGTACACATACTGCTCTGTCCCCTCCTCCTTGTCTCGTGCATGTTCTCCTGCTACAACATATATCTGTACAGATACACAAAGTACAGAATATTATGAATGATGCACCTTAGAGAGACAAGGACATATGTTAGTCAGTGCTAGTCTGTTTGTAAAACACAGAATACAAGTGGGTAGTAGAATTTTCATCAATCAATGACTGTTTTGAAAGGTAGCAAACACGTCCACTGTAATCATAAACGTGCGGATGCGAATCGTTCCGGTTCGACGCTGTACACCTGGGTACGTGAGGGCCACGGTCGGCCATAGTTTGCAGCGCAGTGCCTTGTACTGCGGAAAATTCTACTTGAATCGTACAATCTTGACATCGAGTTCTTATTACTTGTCGACTGAGGAAATGGGAGTTCTGATATTGACTTGGGGAAATCAGGAGATCCAGAGGAAACCGGATGGTGTGCACCAGAACCTACCCTGGGCGTGAGGGCGAGTGGTTAAGCCCAACGGGGGCGTTGTGGCGGTGGACCGTGGGGGTTTTGCGCCAGATGTGTCCGGGGCACAGCCTATGGGGAGGACATGAGTCGGGAACGACCACTCGAACAGGCATAAACTCTCCGCCTTACGAGCCTGGTTTCCAGGAAATGTTCAAAGAAATTGTGATATACATACATGTATGAAATGCAAGTCAATTCAAGGTGTGAAACCGTTTCCAGTGTGGGTGCAAGTTTTGAATCACGGACGCAAAATATATTCTGTTTCGATTCGGATCGTGGCCAAACCGGAACACATTTGAATCATGAACGAGGCCTGAGACTTGTGTAGATCTTCTGGCCTCCCCACCTCATTACGGAGCAGAGGTAAGGAGGACTTGGGCAGCTCCAAACCTTCATTACGATTCATTCCCACACATTCCAACTGTGTGTGGACTGCCTCCTTGATTGTAAATTTGGAGGTACGTGTTTGCTACCTTTCAAACAGTCAGTGATTGATGAATGTTCTTAAACTACTAATTGTTAATCTATACATGACTGATGAACCTCTGCAAACAAAACAAGTGGATTGACAGTGGCAGTGTTCTCCATGTTCTCACCTGGTCTGGACTAACACGTTCTCCTCTCCTCTCCAGACAGTGTGCTGCAGTCAGAACCCAGTCTTTAGCGATCAGCGCCCCCCCACACACCAGCTGAACCCCCTGCCTTCTCTCCTGGTAGATAGCCACGAGCCAGGGCCAGGCCCCCCTGGCTGCCTCAGTCCCCCCCACCACACGCCCCCCACTGCCACACTGTCCTGCCGTCTGCTGAGCTGGTTTGACCCGGCCACACTGCTCATAATCTGTAAAATATAAAGATGCATCGGGCCTGAAGTTTAGAAATAAGTGATGCTGACAATTTATCAGCTCTAAAAAAATAGTCAGTAGTTTCAGGCCACACCAATTTAAGTTGTTGCTTCTCGGATCGCCCTGTCCATTTTTTCTGATTTGCCAAAAAAAAAAAAAATTGGGGGGTGTTCTAAATTTACTGCAAAATGCTCATTGAAAGACTTATTTTGGCCCCAACGGTTGAAGAAAGTCCTTTTCTTCCTAGTTCTTGAAGTTTTTCAATGTAACACGCAATTTTGTTTCATCAAAAGTGAAAAATCTATTGTTTTAATTATAAACCAGCCTGGTATGTTCACTTCAAGGCTCATATTGTAACATTTCCGGCTATCATGGGGTGCCTTGGCCTGTTTTTTAATTTTTTTCTGAAAAAATCCAAGAAACAACAAATTAAATTATTGGTGTGGCCTTATGTTGTATTTATTTTATCCAACAGCTTGAAATAACAGTAGAAAAGGTATGGATTACTTGTTGCTTGATCTCATATTCAATAGATAATTGTTATATGTAACTACATAATATATAAAAAAAGGCTGACATTCGTTTGGGGGCAAATACAGCATATTTCACATTTATACAATGGCATGTTAAGTTAAACAAAGATGCCTGGAATCTTTTCATCATGACAATACAGAGAATCCTGGAATGTGGAAGGTTTAGTCAGTGTCTATTATATTGGTTCAAAATCTTCTCTTTGGCAGTTCAGTCTGGTTCAAAATAAAGTATAACATAAACATGTACTGTGTGCAAGAATCAGCCCTTAGCTAGCCAATATAGCTTTATTCTATGTGGTGACTCAAGCATTCACCAAACAAGTCAAGCACCTATTATGAAAATGCTACTCAGAAGCTTAAAGATGACCCACCAATTTCCTTCTCAGCAATTGTATTGACCAAAGTGTCAAAGTTGCTGAAGTCATTGATGAGGAAGACGTGTGATGTGAAGGGCTGGGACGCCACGCTGTTCAACTCATTCTTGTCGATGTTTGCTCCCACACCAACAGCAAATACCTCAAATGCCTGGAAAAAAAAGAAATCATTATGCTTTTTACTGGTCTAACTACAGACAGGACTCACTAAAGACAAACTTATCACAGAACTTGGCTATGCCAAGGTGACCTCTTCAAGCTGGCTACCTGGCCATAGTGACCACTTTTTCCCAAACTAACTTCCTTCCATTGACGCAAGCAATACAAATGTAAGTGACCAGTCCAAGTTGACCACCTAGCCAACACGACCACCTTGAGTTGGGATACCTGCCCATGGTGACCACATCATTTTATATTGTGTTAATTATTGATGAGATTATCATGGAGAAACCAGCCAGTTTGCCTCGACTGCTGGACGATATCTTTACATGACGCCAGCACTTTAAAGTTTAAGAACAAGTTATATATCCCAGTAGGGGAATATGCCTTTAACTAAATGTCATACAAATGTATATCAATAGGTTTTGCTGTTGTTCTAAACCTACAATCATGTTAATTCCAGATTCTGAAGATAACTCTTGCATGCATGATGTGTATTCGCGTGTAATCTATATAGTTGTCCTTGGCTTTTGATCCTTTAAGAGCTGTTTGCATGTTTCTAATAGTATTACCTGGCTATGAGCCTGATACTGGTAATAGAAAAGTGACTCACTCTTTTACACCACTGAGAGTATTGTCGTGTATATTGTCACCTCACCCATAATCAAAAGGAGCAAAACTTCTTGTTTTTTTCCCTGGGAACAGGCCAAAATCAATTAATGGGCACGTGGATGTCATCCTTAAAAATTACTTGGTGTGACCTTAGGCCACACCAATTTAATTTGTCGGTTCACGGATTCGCCCGCTTAATTTTTTCCTGATTTGCAAAAGAAAAGAAATTTCAGCCTCTGAATCAACTCCAAAATGCTCATATTTTGGTCCCGAAGGAAGTCCCTTCTCTTCAGACTTGTTACAGTTTTTTCATCTAACAATTGATAGTAGTTGATTAAAAGTTTGTTTGAATTGTTTCAAATGTTTGTTTGAATTGTTTTGTTGGTTCAATTGTTTGAAAAAATTCATTGTTTGAATTACAAACAGCCTGGTATGTTGACGTCATGGCTCCTGTCATGGCATTTGGGGCTATCATACGATGCCCAAGTCTGTTTTTATGAATTTTTTTTTTTTCGCCCTGTCGCTTCATATCTTTTCTGAAAAAATCCGAGAACCAACAAATCAAATTGGTGTGGCCGCTTAGTTAGATACAGAGTAAGAGATTTTTACCTCCTCCTCCCTCAAACGCCGTGCGAACACTCCAGGAGAAGCTCCCACGTTAGACTTGCCGTCAGTGATGATGAAGAGAGCTCGTTTGGCACCAGGTCTGCTCACAGGCAGGACGTCGTTCAGCACAGTCTGTAGTGCAGCTGTCAGGGCTGTTCCTCCTCCTTCAGGCTGGGGACAGGAAACATCATTCACTTCAACACAACCATGCAAGAAACTCCATATGAGTCACCATTACATCTAGGTCTACCCTTAGCTAGCAGAGATTTTGTCAGTGTTAGTAACATTGATATGGCAAAAAGCAGTTACTCGAAAGCAACTGTATATGATTTGGGAAAAATCATATCCAGTTGCTTGTCAAGCTAGTAACAGTTACTGTTTTTGGTGTATCTTACATTGTATTACCTGGATGTCTAACCTTCACTGACCTTAGTAATGTTAATGTTCACCTTTATTCATACATCTTTTTCAGGAAGAGTCAATTGTCAAAATAGCGAACCATCATTTCGTTTTGTTACTGTAACTGACATTATATGATACGAATATATTATTACCTCCGGGGGAGGAGACATCCTTCCGTGGAAGGGTTTTGTGAGAGATTTAGATTTTCATGTTCGCAGCTGTTTCTCGCATTTGGGTGGACGGATTCTTTTGAGACTTGGTATATGTTTTGCTATTGGGCTGCAGATGATGCACGTTCTTTTGTTTTTATTGTTCAGTATATCTGTATTTGGGCGTGAAAATGGTGCCTTTTGGTGGCTCCAGAACACCCCTTTGAGCATGAAAGTGGTCGCGACCGTTGACCTTTGGTGTGTTTAAGCTATTCTCGGTCTGGTCCATGTATATGACCCTTCACACAGAGGGGTGTCCGGTCTCAATAAATTCTTTGTTTCAAAATTCAAACCCTATATAAAAATATACAATAAAAAGCCCAGAGGTATAAAATCTCAGATTTTACTTGTTATAACTATTTTATATATGGAAGGTGTGAACAAACTGACCTGTAGTTGTCTGAGTTGGCGGAACACCTGCCTCTTACTGTCCAGCTGTCCCAGGTTCCACTCCAGCTGTGCCTCACTACCAAATGTCACCAGGGCCACCTGTGTTCCACCTGCACAGGCAACACAAACTCACTTTCTATACCAGTATAGGTTGGAATGGCTCTTTATCAATGGCCTGAACATTAAATAAAATCTGACAAAAAGTGTGTATGACCGGACATAACGTTACATGTACATGTACACATCCATATCCACTGATTATGACTGATAAGGGCTTCGTTGTGAGAGAGAGTGTGAGTGACAAGAGGAGGGTGTATACATAGAATTACATGTATCATAGAAAACTTTGGAAACATAAAAAGATGCAGACACAGTTTGGCCGGAGAAAAGGGAAAAGTTATAATTTGTGACTTTTCCGAAACAAACACCAATCAAAGGAATAAATTCTATCGGCAGACGTCTTGTAAGACAGTTCACTAATATATTAAGTAAAACAACAACAACAACAAGTAAAACTCAATAATCAACAAAGGCGGAGAAAGGGGTGGTGGTAGGTGAAAAGACAAAGCAAAATAACGTCTGGCACCCGTGTTCCGTCAAATCCAATGGATTATCACTGTTCATGTCAAAGGTCGCGGGCCAAAACAAGACAAAGCCAGTTTTTAGACAATTACTAAAAATTACCAATGGTCAATTTTTCTTAGATGAGCCTTTCAGGCTTCATTTTTATATACCTCCTCCTGTACACTTTGTTCTATAACATGTACATGTATTAGTTCCTCACTTTCTTTTAATGTTTTTTTGTGTAAATAAACTAAAACAAACCTTCTCTGTTTGTCACTCCAAATTCGTTGATGATACTCCGTGTGAACTGGATAGCTCGGTTAAAGTCGACAGTGTCGATGCTGCTGGATGTGTCCAGAGCGAAGACGAGGTCCAGCCCAGCGCTGCCTCGGGACAGGCGACCCAGCGAGCTCCGGCCGCGGCTGGAGTTGGTGAAGGCCTTAATACGGTCCACAAAATCCTCTTTCAGTGACCCTGCAACTTCCTGCAAGGTTTGTGGTGCTGTAGTGGAAACAATGATACCAATCTTACAAATAATGTATTGATTGTCACTTAGACAGAGATGTACACAATCAGATGCAATTATGCAAATGAGAGCATAATCTGCATAATTAATGTACACATTCTGAAATTTCCAGTGACACAACATCATCGGACGGCTGCGGAGCAGGCGATCACAAGTCCATTCCACGTCCTTCGGTCAGCAGCCAGCGCAGCAGTCCTGTCAGGGCTCAGGTCACCTTCCGTATCCCCCAGCAGGTTCTGGATGTAAGTCAGGTAGCTCGTCCTCTGGTGTACGGGACGCCTTCTGCCGTGGGGCGGAGCGTAGAGGGCGTAAGTCCTGAGTGGTTCCTCTACGGGCATCCTGAGGGCATGTCCGATAAAGCGCAGTTGCCGTTGTCTCACTCTGATGATGAGAGGCTGTGTGTTCGTGGTTTTGTATATTTGGTTGTTGCTTATAATTACATGGTCTGTGCGCTTAATGTTCAACATGATTCTAAGGCAAGATGTAGCAAAAGAGTTTATCTTGTCCTCCATGTCGCGCGACAGCACCCAGGTTTCGCAACCATACAACAGTACCGACACACAGGTGACATTGAAGAGCTTGATCTTTGTGGCTATGGGGAGAGTTGGGTTTCTCAAGATCTTTTGGAGCTTCCAGAGAGCAATCCACGCGAGCGCCTTTCGCCTGGCCAGGTCGTTCTTGCTGGATACCATCATAGATCCTAGATATTTAAAGTCCGTTACATCTTTGATGGGCTGGCCATACACTTCCAATGGTGGTTGCGGATTGCAGTTGATGGTCATGTATTCGGTTTTGAGAACACTGATGAGAAGACCAAGTTGCTGTCCTGCAGTAGCAGTTTTGGTGAGTTGTGACTGTGCCTTCGGTGTGGATGCCTCCAGCAGAGCAATGTCATCAGCAAAATTGAGATTGTTCAGGGTCAAGCGAGGGTTTAGGGTTAAGCGACACAACAGGTAACTACAATGACACATCTCAAACTTTGAGATGTCAAACCTGAGACCTGACTGAATGGTTTGAACCGCTCGCAGAGGGATGAACCCCTGTAGTCTTTTCGATAAGTGTTGTGGGATTTTAATGTGCTCAAGGTGTGGGTATCCTTAAACACACCTGGATCTCAGCTTTACGTCCTACAAAACGTATTAAAGAAGATGTCCCTAACCAAAGCTAGGTACTCATTTTCACCTGAGTCAAGAGAGGAAATAGGTGTAAAGTGCCCTACCCAAGGACACAACAGTAGGGCTTGCCAGGGATGATTTCAACCCAGAATTCAGAGTCAAAAGTACTATCCACAAGACCACCTTGCCACCTACTCTTAGCTTATTTAGTCTGTTACAAATTTATGAAAAGAATAAGATTTGATATGATTGTTAATATGATTTAAGTTTTTTTAATAATAATAATAACCTTTATTGTACATTAATGCCCAATTGGGCTAAGTACAGGTAAACAGATGAAAGGGTAATATACATGTTTGTAGTACAAATAGCTCTAAAACTACACTAATACAAAGGTTCAGCTTCTTCTCGTTTCTTAGTGATGTCAAAAATATAATTTAACTAAACTCGCCTTACTGAACTCACCTTGACAGGTAGGAGAAACACCTGACCAGCGACCGTTCGCCTGACACCGCTGCAGCCGCGGACCAATCAGGTCATGACCTCGGTCACAGAAGTAGAAGACCTGGCCACCAGGACGGAGATTGGTGACACGGCGGCGGCCATGTTCTGGGTGTGCAGGGTCAGGGCAGACAGTATCTAGAACATGAAGAGTGAAATCACTGTAACGTGTTGAACTTTATTCCAATACAAGGCCACACCAATTTAATTTGTTGTTTCTCGTATCTTTTCAGAAAAAAATATGAAGCGACAGGGCGAAATAAAAATGACAACAACAAAAAAAGGCCAAGGCACCCCATATGAAGGCCGGAAATGTTACAATATGAGCCATGAGGTCAACAAACCAGGCTGGTTTATAATTGAAACAATAGATTTTGAACTTTTAATGAAATGAAGTTGCATTGTTACATTGAAAAACTAGGAAGAAAATGACTTTCTTCAACCTTTGGGGCAAAAGTATGCCTTCCCTTCTGCATTTTGCAGTTGATTCAGCACCTAAAATCTTTTTTTTTTTTTTGCAAATCAGGAAAAAAATGGACAGGGCGATTTTAAGAAACAACAAGAAGCCATAGGTGACAATTCTCCGTGAAGTATTATATATTGCAACAAAAAGAAGTAGCCATTGGCGACAATTCTCTGTGAAGTGTGATAAATCGAACAAAGAAAAATTGTTTAAACGCGCGTCGGCTCAGTCATCTTAAGACGCAACAACCAATCAGATGCGAGATGCCTACACGTGACGCGGGAAGGGCGCGCGATGCCCGAAATATTTTTGCGTCAATATTCAGCGCCGTGATTCAAGAGATTAATACCCGGAAACAATTTTTTTCTTGTTTTGAACGCATTAACATGCATTTACGCTAATCTAGTATGATTCAGGGTTACTTTTTTAACCTGCCATGGCCAGATTATCTAAAGATGTGTGTATTGTGTGTACAATCTATAGAAAGAGAAATGTACATCAGGTCCGATCATCCGATTTTCACGTTTCGGTTTTTGGACTCGGTTCATGAACGTATTTTGGTTTGGCTCCTGGAATGTGCAAAAAAATGACTCCCGGGACTGTCTACAGGGAACACTCGCACATTCGCGGTGTATCAGGACAGCGCGACTGGTCGTCATTAGCGCAGTAACAGTTGCATAAACGGACGAAACCATTTCAAAGAAATGGGGATGTTTCGAAAATAAGCATTTACTCCAATATCAAAACAGCTACGGTAAAAATAAAAAGACGTGCATCATCCCGGACATAATGCAACACCACATGCGAAATTACACAGAAATGCGACGTACGGAAGAATGCGTTTTGGCTGCGAACATCTTCCAAAAAACTTGGCATCTCTTAACCATGGGCAAAAACATCTGGAACCACTTATAAAAACCACCCCGTATCTGCATGAACTTTTTTGAACCCCACTGCTATTCCAAACAACGCGTTTTTCTGGACCATTCCAATTCGCCTCGTAATTGTAGGGGTGCGTCTGCGATATTACATTGACCGCGAAAGCAGCAACGGCAAAAATACACATTCGTGCATCAACACGGGCATGCCCGCAGACGGCGTATAAAATTGCGTGCCGATTACACAAAGAGAACCCAGTGTTTTGACTGCGAACATGAAAAATCAGCCGATTACAACACTCCGTCCGGAGGTCCTGACCTCCTTCACGGAGTAACAAATTAAATTGGTGTGGCCTAAGGGTTACACAGAGATCAAATCTTAAACGACCACTGTCGCCTTCATCAGGACAATCAGTGACCGATCCCTTCTGAACGTAAACTAGCAAGAGTTACAGACATGTGACCTTACACACATATACTTGACGTAAGCATTTGATCAAACGTGCCAGGGAGTTTATATCGTCCACCGTTTCTGTTAAGTGAGGGCTGGAGTGCCCTGATATGTAAAGCCTCCTTAAAGCCTGTTTTAAGAGGACTAAGTTTTAAAAAACGTATCCTGTTCAATGTCCAGCATTCTTATTTTGTCCAATGAGAAGGTACAGACCGGTGATTTGATGTGGATGTGATGACAGTGAGATGGGGCATTTGTGTTCAAGAAATCTGGTCCTCAAGGAGCATTCTTCCATTAACCATTTTGTAGAATCCACAGATAAACTTTCATGATAATGAAGAGTGAAGGTTGAGAAATTTTTAGAACCAGATGTGTTAACTTTGCAAGTCACTATCCAGGATTTCAGTTTTAGGAATACGTGCACTGGTGCACCCAAACCCAAAATTTGGTGCACCATATAAGATGAAATAAGTAGAATGTCAGCAAAATGAATTATGTTCATATTAAGGAAAGTACTACAACAATTTTTCTGACACTTGGATGTTAAGAATATGCTGCATGATACTATACATTTATCATCTTTACATAGTAGGTAAACCTATGAAAATATTTGGGTGCACTGGTGCACCCACAGGCACAGAAAACAATTGGGTGCACAGCTCCAAATTTGGGTGCACTAAGGTGCACATGCACCCAGTATTTCAAGCCCTGCTATCACTATTACTCACATTTCATACAGAAGGGTGGGCGACCCCTCCAAGAGCCTCGCACACATCTCAGCATTTGTGGTCCGTACAGTCTGTACCCCTCCTGACAAGTGAAGGAAGCCCTCTGTCCTTCCACAAACACACTGCCATGGCGGGGAGCATCAACAGAAGGACAGCCCTCCTCCTGTCCAACCTCTGGAATAACAGTTTCCTGACTTTGAATACAATTTTTTATTCACAGTTTAATTTATTTATCCTCAGTATAGCATATCTTTATTACATGTTGATGTGTTATGTCTTGTAGTATCCTGTTAACTAGGTTGGAAATTTAAAATTGAAGTAAAGTTAAGTATAGTACATTTGTAATTCTAAATATCATGATCATCATTGCTCATTATATTAAAAGCTCAATGCAGTTGTGTAGCACATTTGCAAATTGTTGTGACAGTCCTAAAACTAATTATGCCTTAAAAATACAGGGATTTCACAATTATGTTATTGACCCTGAAAAGCCACTCGGTCGTACTGCCTTAGCTATTTTAGTGGTTTTAGGTTGCGCTGTGGAATATTTAGGCTGATCTGAACATCGGCAACCCGGCCAATTGTGGTTTTATACTGTAGGGAAGCTCGGGACAGCAAAAAAACGGGGCAAAAACGGACCATCGAGCAGCCAACGGGAAATGTGCAGTTCTGCCAATGGATCTTTCCACGACTCTTGCTGAGGGTAATGCAATGTAAGCCAGAATCAAGAGTCGCCACGGCTATCCTGAATGTAGCTTTAATATCATCGAGAGTGATAAAATGGTAAACTAGAGTCCCACGATCTTATACCTTCGCCAAATGATGTTAATCTTCATGACTGAAAAAGATGATTCCTCCTGATTATGCAAATAGCATCCTAATTTGCATGAATTATATCAGTTGATCATATTCTCTATCAAAAGACAGCCTTATCTTAACAAAGAAAGTTATTCTATCATTTCCTCATAAATTATGCAAATGAGGTCCTTATTTGAATAAGTTATGTTTAATGATGTTCAGCTTCACTTAACTTTTAAATACCCTAAGTATGAAATTCCAGGCAGTAACTCTTATGGAATTATAACATTTTCTCATTAATTATGCAACTTAAGTGTTAATTTACATAATTAATACCTGCCTGTGTTTCTCTCGTTCTCAATTACATATGTTACAAGATTGAATAGTCCTATAATGTAATGCAGCTGATTTATAGAATTTCCTCATTAATTATGTAAATTACATCCAGATTTGCATAATTGTCACATAATTATATCAAGCGTCACATAAGCTACATACATACCAAAAATCATGAAGATCCGTCCACCGGTTCTTGAGTTATCCTGTTTTGAATATTTTCAAAGAAATGTCCCTGCAGTTCCTGAGCAAGCTGCTAGGGGGCCCAAACCTACATTACTTCTTCCCGAGCACAAGGCCTACCTACCATCTCAATTTCGTGACCCTAACACGTCCAGATCATGAGATATCAAGACCGGAAGTTCAGCTGCAGTACCATTAGAAGCCGCTAGGGGGCCCAAAATCTAATCATTTCGAGGTCTCATCAAGAACCACCCACCTTCCAAATATGAAGTCAATCCATTTAATCCTTCTCAAGTTATCGTGTTTACAGACAGACAGACAGACACACACACACACACATAATTTATACACACACATACACGAACGCCACTGAAAACATAACCTTCTTGGCGAAGGTAATGACAATAACACAACTGCAGTAGATCTGTTAGTTCAAGCTGAACGTTCTGTTGGAATGTCCTACCATTACAGATGTCCACACCATCTCCTGTGAAGCCATCCTTACAGCTGCACCTGTAGGAGCCAGGTGTGTTGATACAGTCGGCCTGCAGGTGGCACAGCTCAGGCTCCTGGTCTGTATCCAGACTGTCTCCATCACCAGACCCACTGCCACTGGCCTCATTCCACTCCTCACATTCATCAATGTCTGAGGGGGAGGGTGACAAGGCATCATGAGTTTCATTTCAATGACTTTTGACCTGTATGTTACTTAGGCCACAGCAAGTAATTTTTATGGATGACATCAGCGCGCGCATTAATTTTCGCTTGATTTTGGCAAAAGAAACAGGAATTTTGTTGCCCTCTGACAGTGGTCTACAAATTGGGCAAAGATGTCTGAAGTCAGGCCGGAACGTGATGACAGAAAAATGTGAAGAGAGATGAGATGAACAAGAAAAGGCTCTGATTTAATGTTTTGTTTTTCACTTTGATGCAGTGATATGTGATGTTGGCTGTGTATATGTGATGTTCCCACTGAATCAAAACCATTCGTATAATGATTGAGTCAAAATTTTAGAATGTAGGAACCTTGTTTTTTTTGGCCCGCCTTGTTTTTTTTCGCCCGCTCGCATTAGATTTGGAGTCTGCGGAGGATGTCATCCATAAAATTTACTTGCTGTGGCCTTACTTGCTTTTACTGTTACTTACTGTACTGTTACTAAATCCTTTAATTCCCTTTTTCATGCTTGAGAAAGACAGGGAGAAAATTCCCTAATGAGCAGCTATAACTGTTATCAGGGTTGACATTTAGGCATCATGAGTTTCATTTCAATGAATTTTGATCTGTTACTATCAAATCCTTTCTCTTCAGGTCCATTCTTGAGAAAGACATAATGAGCAGGTACATGTATATCAGATTTTACCCCTAAGTTACAGAGAAAATCAAAACACGCAGGATGGAACTAGGTGCATTTAAGACATCTTGATATTATAGCATCCAGGTTTGTCCTTTGGGAACCCACAAAAGGCCAAAGAAGTTGAGGGAAACCTGGGATTAAGTTCATTGCTTGACAACCTCAGATCAGACTAATTAAACTTAGTATTTAGGAAACCCAGTCTCTGATGGAGGCTAGGATAGAATAAATAGGAGGACACTTTCAAGTTTGACTCAAAGTAAGTAAAATGACACAATTTCAAACCCTGGTTGAATTCCATCTCAGTGCTGCCATGTCCCAAAGCTATGAATGATATTAACCCTTAAGCCTTTCCCTATTTGTAAGGTTTGCATACAACAATGTTTGGTACCTGTACATGTTGAGTAGGCCTCACTCCACTGTCCACTAGTCACATTGCAAGTTCTCCACTCCAGACCAGTCTGCTGGAAGCCTGTGTAGCACACAGCCTGCACCAGACTGCTGCCGATCCTGTGGTAGTAACCATTGTCTATGTCCTCTGGGACCACCGCACAGCCTGAAATGAATGAAAACATGATTCACTAGCCTCACATTTTACTACAAGTTATGCTTGCCTGGTGTCCCACTATTGTCTTAATGTACATCATACATACCTTCACTCATCATCATCATAACCCTTATGCCCTACAAATTGTACATGTTTCTCATTGATTATGCAAATAAGATTATCTTATGCATTAATCATATCAGTTAACGTTGATCATGTATTCTCCACCCAATGACACTGTCCTAACAAAAAAAACTGTTCTAGAATTTCCTCATAAATTATGCAAATAAAGTCGTGATTTGAATGAATTATGTGTAATGATGTCACTGGCGTCACTTAACTTCTAAATGTGATAAGTATGAAATTCCTGGCAGTTACAACTATGGAATTATAGCATTTTATCATTAATTACGCAAATTTGGTGTTAATTTACATAATCAATATCTGCCGATGTTCCACTCGTTCTCATTCTCATTTGAATAGTCCTTGAATGATATTAAACACAGTAGGTTTAGAGAGTTCCCTCATCAATTAGCAGATTAGATCATAGTAATTTACATAATTTTCATTGGATTATGTAAATTAATATCTAATCTAATTTACATAATTGTCATGTAAGCTAGATGTACATTGTACTACCTACATACTAGTACAAAAAAGAAAGTGATCTATCACCCAGCTCTTGAGTCATCCTCTGTCAAAGAACAAATGCTCTGACTGAGTACTGCAGTTTCAGGACAAGCTGCTAGAGGGCCTAAAGCCCTAAATGTATGTGACATCTTCTCAAGCTAGAGCTATGTACATGTACCATCCAAAATTGATGACCCTAGTACGTCCACATCACAAGATATCAAAACTGGAAGTCCCATTGCAGTACCATAACAAGTCGCTGGGAAGCCCAAAATGTAATAAAAAAATAACGATTTACAGGTCTTATATCAAGACCTTAGAAGTGCACTCACTAAATTTCACGACATTACCCATTCATAACTCCTTAATAAGTTATAGTGCTAAATTACACATTAGTAGTACATACCTGTGGACTGTTGCTTAAAGCTATCTAGTGATGATGTGATCATAGGATCATAGTTCTAGGGAAAAATAAGTTTTTGAACACCTCAATCCTTGGTTGATAACTGTGGTACTTGACGGCATGACTAATGAGATAAAGATCTGCTGTTACCTTCTATTCCTGGGCTCAACATTTGCAGCACCACCAGCAACACCAGGCTTGTCAACTCCATCTTACTGAGAGTATACTCCTACAGTACACAAACATTTGGTCAAGCAACTGATTGAGTTGAAAATAAATCTATGATTACTCTTAGAGCATGTACTGATACAACTTAAACAAGAATTCGTAGATCGCACACCTCAATGAAATATGAGTTTTTGTAAATGACATGTCCTCGTTAATTATGCAAATGACCTCTACATAAACATAATATATGCATAGTGGTGTTAACCTTGAAGTAACCTACACATGTCTGATTTGTCACAAGGTATAAAATTACCATCATTCACCAATAAGGAGTCACAAAATTTTCACATTAATTATGCAAATTAGGTCATCATTTGCATAGTTGGTATCTGTTGATGTTAGATCTGCCACAGATTAAAAAGATTACATGTATAGCAGTACTATTATATAAAACAATGTAATTATAGAATTTTCTCAATAATTATGCAAATTAAGTCCTCATTTGCATAATTTGCATTTAATTATGTACAACTCTCTCTCAGCTACCTACATACCAAAAATGGTGAAAATACGTTGTTCCTATCTGGACTTTTTGGCTTTGAAAGTTTTTACCAGAAACTAACCTGCAAGTCCAGAACAAGCTGCTAGGGGGACCAAACTTACACCACTTACATGTATTCCTGACAGGATAAGCTAATCTCACCAAAAGATCAAGACCACAGCAAGTTCAGGACAAAAGATACAAAAACCGGAAGTTCTGCTGCAGTACCTAGGTCATCCACCAGGAGGCCCATATTTGACCTTGCCCTTCGTCTTCCTAAGACTTACATTGTACCACTACCAGCATACTAAATATCATCACAAACCATAAAGGCGTTATGCTGACAGTCAGACTACAAATGTGCGGAAACACACTCACACACACACACACACACACACAGACACACACACACACACACACACACAGGCGCGCCAAAAACAATGCCTCCATTTTTCATGGAGGTAATTAGAACATTAAGCTTGAACTTCAACATCCCAAGACGTTGACCTACTCACACACCAAATATCATCACCCAATAATAGCCTGGGTGCCAGACTCCAAGAGTTGGAACAAGTTAAAGCTAGGTGTAATATTACTAACACTAGGTGTAATATTACTAACAGTAATACAGCCAGCTGCCGCCGCACCGCGTGCCTGCGAAGCTGGTGTGTTACAAATGTACTAAGAAATTATAGTAAGATACAGATAACGATACCGGTCGTACTACATGTACACCCTCCGCGGTTATATGAAGTTTCCCTGCATGTAAAACGGGGTTTTACGGGCTGCGGCCTGGCATCTTGGCTTTTCAACCACCCCATGGCCAGTCCCCAGCTGAGAGAAGCCGCCAGTGAGAACAATACGATCTTTCTCCAAAACTAAATATTTTGCTAGGAGATTATAAGTCTCATAAGTGTGAGAAACACATCAACAGCCTAATCTTGCCTATCTTTCTGTTGAAAGCAGACGTTTCTTCACGTTAATCGTAATTTTTCCGACTCCATTTTCATTTTTTTTCTACACACAATTGGGTTGATCGGACAAATCCTCGTAATTCGGCCGGTCATAAAATTTTCCACCGATCTGCTTGGAGATAATTTTACAATACCAACTAAGTCCATCACAACAACAACAAGGAGAAAATATATAACGGTTATACATGTAACTACATGATCGAGGTGCGTACCTTGTGTGGAAGTGCAGTCAACAAACTTCGGGATCAATATGGAATACAAACGAAAACGTTGGCCTTTTTTGTCACGACATGGAAACGACTTATCACATCTCGTCAGCTGTGTGCCCGGGCACAGGGCCAGGCTACAGCCCCGGTATCCTGCAGGAACTTCCCTGGAACAGGCACGCCTCCACATCCGCATGTTTACCGAGATTGTCGGCACCTCTCCACAGCAGGGAGAAGTAATGCAGAGTCAGCAGCGCCCAGTAGCACGCACACGTTCTGGTTGTCAGGTCTCTGAAGGGTGAAGGGGACAGTCCATTTGCTTTCTGGTAAGGGGAATGCTTTCAGTATGTTCGTTGTATGGCCTTGTATGTGCGACTTAGGCCATGTTGATTTGATTATATGGATGACGTCCTCCGTTAGCCCCAAAACTGATGCGCGCGTGCGAATAAAAAAAAAGTTTTGCAAAAAAAAAAAGTTATTTTTAATATGAAATCTACGTGGTCACGAGGGTTGAACAAACATGGTTTGGCGAATAATCTAGTCTTCAAGTTCATTTCTTTACAAATTCGTCTTTTTTGTTTGATTTTGGCATTCTACGACATTGGTAACGTTATTAGTTTTTATTAATTTTTTTTGTAACTTATGGTATATTTTTGCTCATTTTGCAACTGTTTTGTACGATTTATAGTATGGTTGAAAACTTCTTTTTTTTTTGGAAACGGCCCGAAAAATTCATGCGCGCGCGGATGTCATCCATATAATCAAATCAACATGGCCTTACTTTAGATCATGGAGTCATGTTTAGATGAAATCTCTTGGCACGCTGATACAAAAGTCATTTTTGTTACAAAAGCCAAGTCAGGAATCAGGACCCCATGGGATTGTAGCTTAATGGTGCTTAAAACGGTATGTCATGCGGCATCGGTGAACTTCGGAATGTCGTTTCCGAGGATATACATGTAACTGTTAGTTGTTTTCCTGAACAAGACAACCTAACTCATAGGAAATTCAAACTACTAGATAAATTACTGTGAGATCATCGGATATTATCTCCGTAATTAATACAGCAGTAGAGTTTCCTGTTTACCTGTATGTCTATCAAACCTTCATGAAAGACAACCTATCAGTGTACCGCCTCATCACTTCGATCTATCTACCTCCTACAAATAAAAACTTGTTGCTTGTTGATACGCTGTGATCTGTGAAAAGACAATACGTTCATCTGTGGTTCAATTCGCGTCACCTGAGCTATGGCCAGCTATGTATTGGGGGTTTAACAGCATTCATAACTCCATTTGGGATGGAATTACGCAAGAAATCCACGCTTTTAATTAGCTGAGGGGAGGTAGCACCGCTCTGTGTTTAGGTTTAGCTCACGTTGGTCGTTTTTCAGCAGCCCGCCGCGGCCCTTGCGGTGGCAAGACATTCCACCGTAGGATCTGCTTGGAGATAAGCCGTAAGCCCGCCCCAACATCCACTGGTCGGTCCCCACTGTCAGGCATAGCCCCGGACCCGGACAGCGGTGCAGATTTACCAGAACAACGGGACAAAGCAAGGCCAATGGGGTAACTGAACTGGGGCAGGGCCAATGTAGCCCTGGCGCACAGAAGCTGGCCCGTAGCCCATCATGCCAACCGCCTGTGATGGGGTCAAAAACGCAGCAGAACTTGGCTGTCACGATCAACACATGCCACCCACAACATGTGCAGAATACATTGCACATTGGGGGCAAGGGGACACATGTACAGTGCCCTACTCATCACTAACTTGTGTTGACTTGTTTGTCTGATTATCCCCCAGTGCACGACTCATCACTGACAGACCGGGCCTGGCCCGCTACCGAGAAGTGTTCAGGTTATTTGACTTCTCTCTAGCATTCAGGAAGTTCATCGAACCCGCTCACTTCCGGTACCCATCCACATGTTCGGTCCCTCCACATCCAGGCATTGAGCTGGAGATCGCAAACTGTACTGTTACACGGAATGGCGATACAACTGGAGATTTTTGCATGGGCAGTGCTCACTGTTTGTGTCTACACTTCAGCAGGTAGGTTCTCCCAACTGTAATATACATGTATGTAAATTGTAATTACCGTAGAATCTGTCCACTTAGCACTCATCGGACCCAACAAGGAGACAGGACACGATTTACAATGTACCTCGAAGGTTAATAATTGTTGCGTTACTTAATGTAACGGTGTTTGTGGTTCAGCAGTTAGCATTATACATATGTAACAGAAGAAGCTATCGATAAGATTGTAATGAAATTTGGTATGTGGTTAGGTCTTGACCTATCCAGGAAGTGATGAGAGTTTGCACCACCTGGCACTTTCTTCTGGTACTGCAGCAACGTTTCAAAATTTGATATCTTGTGGTCTAACATGCTTAGTAGGATCATGATTTTTGGTGACAGGTACATGTAGGTCCTCAACATATAAACAAGCAGTGTAGGTTTGGACCCCCTAGCAGCTTTTTTGAACTGCAGGGGCCAAGTTTATTTGTGACTTTGAAAGACTAAATTGAGAAGAGGCAGGCATTGAGAAATGTTTGACAGATTGTTGTGATTTGTGGTATGTGGGTAGCTTAAGTAATGATTGACATAATTAAATGGTAATTATACAAATCATAAGACTAATGATTTGTATAATTAGCATTTAATTATGTCAATTATTACTTAATCAAGCTACCCACATACCACAAATCACAACAACCTGTTGTAATGTCAAACATTTCTCCATGCCTGCCCCTTCTAAAAATGTCTAGAATTTCTGCATTAATTATGTAAATTACCTAAGTTAATTTACATAATTAATGCAGAAATTCAAGACATTTGCTGCATTCCATTTTAAACTTGTAGCAATGGTAAATTATGTAACACAAACATCATTCAACATAAGTTATGCAAATCAGGGCACTTTTTCATATAGAATTAAAAAATTGCTCACCATACTAGTACTTATCGTAAACAATAGGGGTCCTTCTCAGTGTGAATTTTTAAAAAACCTTACAGTACATACCTGAAGGACGGTATGAGTCTAGTTACATATTATTCAGGGAATTCAGGCCAGAACTGACATAAAGAGTAGGGAATTTTTTTTTTATTATTTACAACATTTATAACAGTCTGTAACTTGCAAACCAGATTTGGGTAATATAAATTATAATTGTAGATAGGTTTCTTAGCTTTATCATCATGACAGTTTTAAAACTCATTCTATGTTGACCAATGTACATGTATCTGTTGTTGTACAGACAGTGGGAGTGTCTGTGCTCCCAGCACTGCTGCTGCTGCTGCAGAGGGGCGGAGCTGCAGCAGGAAGAGATGTACTGCAGACTCGGACTGCAGAGGGCGCAACAAGAGATGTCTGTGTGATGGTCCTTGTGGCATGAGCTGTGTTAACCCCAGTAAGACATCGGATATCAATTACCTCAGTGTTATGGACAGATGAGGAAGGCTTTAGTTAGTGCTCACTGATATGGAAGGATTGGGGTTAAGCCCTGGTCACAATCCGCCATACGTGCTTTTTGTCCGTACGTTTTTTGGGAGGCCACGTCTGCTACATTTGTCTGAAAACGTGCGTTGTATGCTCATAAGCTGTACAGGGCACGCACGTCGCACGTACGGGTGGTGAATCCGCAGACCGCACGCATGAAAAGTTTTGCATGCACTTAAAGTTTTTCGGTGTGTCTGCGTGCTCCCAAATCCGTAGGATTCCGTACGAAGGTGGTACTCACCACGCACAGATGCCCTACGTTTGCCCACGTTTTGGCGCGTAGACAGCACGCAGAAGCACATATGGCGGGTTGTGACCAAGGCTTTATGGGGGCCCCCATGCCCTTTTCCACAGAGCGAAATTGGCCATTTTAATTCTACGTAGAGCGTAGACAGACCAATGTAATTCAACGTTGAGCGTAATTGGCGCATTATGCATAGAGCGTAATTTGCAGTTTTGATTCCGAGTAATGCACTGTAGCTGCGTACCTGGAATTTATCGTAAAGCGTAATGGGTAGGCATATTTCAGTATAACACATAGCCGGCTCTTAGAATTTAGCATATAGTTTTGTTGCCACACACACACACCCCCCATATAGGCCCTTGTTAAACTTAAAGCAGAAGTTTCGTGTTCAAAATAGCATCAGTACCTAAGTACCTTCAGTACCTAAAAGTACTACAATGTAAATGTAGTAACAATCATGTGAAAATTAGCCACACAGTAGTATGTTTGTAGACTATTACATGTATCTCAAGAAAGCGGAATACATGTGTCACTCATATAAATACGCCTCATGTACCTTGTCATGTCATGTACTCACTCTAAAATTCATTTCTCAGTTGTTTGCCTTCATAATTTTTATTTCCCAATTATTATGACATCGAGATTCTACTTTTCTAGGAAAAGTATACATACAGTCATTGTACTTGACACTTCCAAGTTCTTTCTGGAGTAAATCCACTAGTTGTGATGTTTCCCATGATTTTTTCTGCCTGGTACTCCAAAGAAGTGTTTATTTTCCAGATGGTACATGTAGAGAGCCAGAGGCTCCTACCCATGGTGCAGTGTTGTTTGACCGGTTGACGTTTGGCGGTCTGGCGGTGTATTCCTGTGATGATGGACACGTGCTGTCTGAACAGGCCCAGCGACAGTGTACCGGTGACCGCGAGTGGACCTGGCAGGCCCCGGAGTGTATCAGAAACAGTAAAGGAACTTCACTTCAGTTTTTCACCAATATGTGAATATTATACATAATAAAGCCACACCAATTTGATTTGTTGGTTCGCTGATCTTTTTAGACAAAATATGAAGCGACAGGGCAAAAAAAAAGACCTAGTAGGCTAATCATTGATAGCCATATACCATATATTAGGCCACGACATCAACACACCAGGCTGGTTTATAATTCAAGTAATGAATTTTAAACCAATGCGTTGATAGATGGAAAAACTATCAACTAGGACAAGGAGCTTTCTTCAACTGTTTGGGCCAAAATATAACATTTTAAAATTGATTCAGAATTTTTTTTGTGTGTGAAATCAGAAAAAAAAATGAAGCACGCAATTAGTAATAACAAAAAATGGCTATCCGAGAACCAATTGATTAAAATAGTGTGGCCTAATCATTATATTCATTAACTTAAAGGTGACCCCTGTTCTTCTCCCACAATTTTGTAGCCACATGCAGTACATAAAATGACAGACCTGTTAAATTTCTGGACCATGACTTGAGTAAAACCTGACCCTTATCTCTGTAACACTGATTTTGGAAGAAGCAGATGTCTGTAGTATGAGAGACATTTCAATCATAATTTTTTTACAACATTAATATAATATTGATGGAATCTGGGTTAATTTTTCCAGTTGAAGGAACCACTAGATAATTTTTTTCTGTAAACTGCCTCACTGGTGGGATCACGTCGGCATTCGGCCGAGATACGCTGGGAGGGGGGCATCAGCAAGCAGGTCGTTGACCTCTGACATTAATAACATAAATGTATAGCTCAGGCGAATTGTGATGGGACCCGGTTTCAAAGGAATGTGTGGCACGTGGACCATATGTGAGGAATGCGAGTTACCCGAATCGCGATTCGGGTGACTTCACATAAACACGGCCTTAGGTGCACGGTGTCTCACCTGTTATTTCTCACCTGTATTTCTGCACATGTCCATGTAGGTACTACCTGTGGAGAGGCACCTGAAGTGGTCCATGCCATGTATGATGGAGAGAGACGCCGGGTTAGTTTCGATGTTGGGGAGAGACTGTTGTATCGCTGCAATAGTGGCTTTTACAGAATTGGCCAACCCTATATATACTGTGGGGAGAATGGCCAGTGGTCGTCAGTCCAACTGACATGCAAAGGTTTGTTACACTTCACTCTCTTATAATTAATGTAGATATAGAATACAACACGGGGTATTCTGTATCGACCGTGGTACCAGCCTGACTGCGCGTCGGAACGCCCGAAGGCCGGAGGGAGATCCGATCTGCGGGAGGGCTGGGACCAAGGGTGACGCGGAAATACACCGTGTTGTATTTTATTTATGAAAACACACCTTTCAATGCAAAATGAGCAAAAATTTGGTCTCCCTAAACCCAAAAAATGCGACAACATCAATTCCAATGTCCGAATTTTTTATTCAAATTTTCGAAAGCAGTGCAGGGCGAAACGCGTTCAAATTATTCCATGGAACATTCGGAAGCCCTGGCCGTATGCGGTAAGAACCACTAGTGTACCACTAGTTATCACACGGGCCGGAACACCCGTATCAAACGTAATTGTTTGTCCCAACCTACCAACAGCTAGCTGCAGACTGAATATCATAAAGATCCACCCTAGACTTCTTAAGTCAGGCTGTTCCCAAACAGGCTGACACACCACCCGAAAAATATAACCTTCTTGTCGAAGGTACATGTAAAATGCATAATTTCTTGTTGTACATTTATTTATTAATAGAACATGATTGTCATGTGTTGTGCGGTCACTAATTAACTAGCTAGCATGCCTTCTTATCACCAAGCACGGAGCTGTGGGAACCCTGGAGACATTGCTAATGGCAGGAGAGAAGGGCTGCTGTTCACCTACCCCAACCGTGTCACCTACCGCTGTAACCCCGGCTACACCCTGCAGGGCAGACCAGTCAGGGTGTGTCTGTCCACACAGCAGTGGAGCGGCTCACTGCCACACTGTCAACGTGAGAACATACTTGTATTCCTCTTAGGCCACACCAATTTAATTTCTTGGTTAACAGATTTTTCTAGAAAAATAATGGAGCGAGCAGGCAAAAAAAAATAAAAAATAAAAACAGACCTTAAGGCATCCTATTATGGCCCAAAATGGTATGATACTGAGCCACAAAGTCAACACACCAGGCTGGTTCAAATTTTAAACAATGAATTTTGAACTTTTGATGATGCCACTGCATTGAAAGATGGAATAACTGTAACAATAAGTTAACTAGGAAAAAAGGACTGTTTTCAACTGTTCAGGGCAAAATATGAGCATTTTGCAGTTGATTCTGAATTTTTGTTTTTATTTGCAAATCAGAGAAAATGAAGCGGGCAAATCCGTTAACCAAGAAATTGAATTGATGTGGCCTTAGATTATTAAATACACTAGTAGAGGGATAAGCATAATTTCCCATTGTTTGAAAAGTCTCTTTCAAAATCACCTGTGAAAACATGGCTGCCTTGTTGTTTTTATGTCATTGTTAGGGTTAGATGCTAATCCCCATTTTATCTATTGTTCAAAATGATGGTATCTGAGAGGTGTCAAGAAGGAATCTACAGCAGTTCTTTTTGGAGTCTCTTCTAATGGTGACAGATCTCGTCCAGCTCTCTTTTAGTCTTGTCCTTTGTGATGAGATCTCAATTGTCTGCTAAAGTACTCAAAGAGATTTATCCCTCTACTAGTGATAGGACTGGTTCTAATTCCTACATAATGATACAAGTTTTGATAGAACATACCTACCCCAACACTAAAATATTCTATTAAAAGAAATATATATATTATGAAATAAAACATATGTCAGAATTAGAACCAGTACCATATTTACATGAACAGTCCTTTTTGAAAGGTGACTGTGGTCCTAAACACTTGCAAAAAGCTGCTCATCTTTAATCTTGTCTGAGTACCCTACTGTGCACATTTTGTAACCAAGATTCTCCTGTAGCTGATCCAAATGGCGTTTTTCTTGTGTATAGTTAATAGTTTTAATAGTAGGAAAAATATCTGCATGCCTGTGAGGCTTGAAACTATATTTTAGAATGCAATGTTATGTTTCAAAAGAGAGCTAATGGCATTTAAAGCTTATTTTAAAGGTACTCATAAATCAGTCTAATTGCTGCTATTGCCAGTCAACCTCATTGTTTTATTTCATTACTGTAACGTTAACTTAAAAAAAATGTTTGTCTAATGATAATGAGATGTTTTGTCTTTGATGTAGCTGTGAGCTGCCCTGCTCTTGAGCATCCAGAAAACGGACACAGGTTTGGCACAGAGGTTACCTACAACAAGGTTGTGAAGTTTTCCTGCAGTACAGGGTACATCGTCAGGGGCTCCGCGGAGCGGACCTGTGGTGCTGATGGGACATGGTCTGGGGAGGAGGCCAGTTGTGCAGGTCAGGGGACATATAATTATACTATAATTAACAGTCATGAGGAAATAGGTACAGGAGTATTGTGGTTAGATTTGTTGGTACGCTCACTGAGCGACATATATTTGTATCAAATGTAATTTGGCATTTTGTATATGCTGCTAGTATGCACAAGGTGATGCACATTGTTTATTTTTACATAGCAGCACAGGTAGATTTATACATGTAGGTCATGTACCATTTCAGAAAACACACCTATCTTGATGTTCATAATAATGGTGGAACATGTGCTTAAAGGCATCCAGTGCAGTTTTTAGGGCTTGGAAACCCGATTTTTCAGAGCCAATACTAAGTATTCTACTCATTTATCTACATACTAAGATGAAACTACACTATCCAAATGTATATTTGGCCCTCGTGGAGCAAAAAAAAAACAAATTCTGATGGAAAATAGTTACTGGAAGGGCCCTTGGCTGATTTTTAGGGTACCACCCAGAAAATAAAGGACTCATCTTGGGGCTTGTTTCTGCAGTTTTAAAGCCAAAAGTATGAAATGCTGACTCAAATGGGCCTGTGTCAATATCACAAAGATTGCCTTATTCAGAATATTTCCAGTTTTGCTGCCCTGAAATCACATTGGATGCCTTTAATGTCATTGGCTGTTGTGGTCTCTGCTAATTGGGTTTTCTTCCAGCAGATGTTGGGTTATGTGTTGTTTTAACATCTCTTGTCAATCAGGTTGTCTAATGAGACCATCCGTTGCATCTGATGGGTCCTGGGTCCAATTGGGTCCATACATGTACTTTGAACAACCTTGCTGTTTTTGTCTTCACCTACAGTGTATAAAAAGGATATCAATTGAAGCTTAGCTACATTGTACACCACTACATGTATATCATTTACTTCACGTAGGATTGTGTCCTATAGATTCTTGTATCAAGTTTAAAATGGCTAAAAATTTTCAAGAACTAGGCAGGCATATATAATTATACGTTTCAGTGAGTGCTTCCTTCCAAATACGGATTAGTATTATTTTGTGTGGCTGACTTTTGAGTTTGATTATTTCACTTCCAAGTAGCATCAGTTGCATGGTGCCGATTCATAAATTCCGCAAAAAGCCAACATTTGCCTGCTTGTGGTAAACGTCGCTATGTACTGCCACAAATTCAGAATACTGGCTCTGTATTAATTCCTTGTGGTTTAGTTAGCATTTTTATTTTTTGGTTCGGACTTTTTTTTATTTTGCCCGTGCGCACTATTTGGGGGTCTTCAGAGGATGTCATCCATAGAATTAAGTCGGTGTGGCCTTATACAATTCCCTCCAAAGTTTCAATACACGATAACCAAAACAAGTCCGTAAATCTAATTTTTTTTTTGTTTTTAATGTTCACAGTTATAAACTGTGGAGAGCCTGATCCAGTGTGGAATGGATATTGGGAAGGCAGGGACTATGGCCACCGTGCTGAAATCAGCTTCTCCTGTCGACGTGGATTTCTCCATGTTGGAGCCACATCAGCTGTTTGTCAAGATGATGAAACCTGGTCCTCCCCATCTCCACACTGCTTTGGTAGGTCCTTATTTCTTGTTCAGTCAATTAAATATTTTTATTACTAATATGTATATGCTGCATATTGTGCTTTAGTTTGTTGTAACTTCTTAAATTATAATATGAATTGTAATCACACTAAATGTAGCCTGACTAATCGCGCTCCTGGCGACCAGCCCCCCAAAGTTGCCGGGGTGGGGGTCATTAACCTCCGGCCAAGAGCTTGTGTAACACAGGCTAACACTAATAAATGCATATGGCACACAACAAGGTTTATTCCGTATAACCAGAGATACCAGCCCAAACACAGGTCAAAGAGGGAAGTGGAATACACCGTCATTTTTTAAAATGTGTAGCGGTAGTTGTAGTATGTCCTACCCACCCGAGAAAACACAAAATACAGTGCCCCTAAAGCAAAAAAAAAACGTGAGAACATCATTTCCAAGTTCCAAATCCAATTGGCAAATTTTCGAAACTGCACACGTAAAGAGCGTTTGAATTTAATCTGATATTTCTATGGAACTTTAAAGCCTGCATGATAACCAAAATAGAGCCTGTGATATCACTAGTTATCACATGGCCTGGAACTCCCATATCAAACGTTAATGCATCCCCCGTACAAATGTATGACATACATGTAATACAAGCACAGTTACTGTTACAGTAGCACACTGCTCAATATATTAGACATGAACAATTTTAATATGTAATGTGTCAAGGCTTTAAGTGTCATGACTACATGATTTCTATTCCCACCAGGTAAATGTGAGATAGAGCGGCCACCTTCACACGGCTCCTTCTCCAGCAGGGTGTACTCAGGACAGCTGCTGTCACATGGAGACAGCGTGGAGGTCACGTGTGATGCAGGGTATCAGCTGGAGGGAGACAGGCGGGTAACATGTGACAACGGAACCCTGGCATTACCAGCGTGCAACCCCCGTATGTTACAGTCCACAGTCTTATATTCTGTATTTCATGTCTTTCACTAGAGATACATATTACTTTATGGTGTTAAGCTGCCATGATTGTACGGTGCTGTATAGCTGGCTGTATAGCTGGCTGTACTTGTAAAGGTGAGGACGGTCGTTGTTCATATTTAGTGGATGGGTTGGGGTAAAAAAGAGGAAGGTCAAATTCAATAATAGGCCTTCTAGCAGGTACCTATGGTACTGCAGCATAGCTTCAGGGCCTTGAGGTCCCCTTGGGCAGGTGGTCACCATGGACAGGTTGCTTAATGCTTGCGGCATCGGGGAAAATTTGGGAGACTGAGAAAAAGTAGTCACCACGGCCAGGTGGCCAGCTTGAAGAGGTGGTCACCTTGGCAGGTTTGACTGTAGTTGTACAACATGACTTGTTTCTGTTTCAGGCCCGTGTGATGGCATGCCTGTACTTGATGATGGTGAAGTAGAAGTGACAGGTCTGGCCCATGGCAGTCTGGCGACTTTTAGCTGTGTACGCGGCTTCCGACTGGATGGTCCACGACAGACAACGTGTTATCTTGGAAGCTGGAGAACACTGCCTTCCTGCCAACCTAGTACGTCAACTTGTATCTACGTAATACATGTACATAATGGGCCTTACTTGTCTCAGTATATAATTTATTATTACATAAATTTAATGTAACTTCTTAGGAAGGAAAATTCTGTCACATATCCTGTATTTTGGTTCCACATGTCAGTGGTAGCGTGCGTAGTCCAGTGGTTAGCGATCCTGCCTCTGGACTAAGAGGTTGGGAGTTCGAATCCCGGCTGTTGTCGCTCACCCAACATGCACGCTACTGTTTAGGATCGCAGTCCTTAGGACGGGACGTTAAGCCTTGTCGAAAAGGGAATTTCCCGGGTACAATGAACCTGTAAATACTGTACATAGTGTCTGTCTTCTCTGTCACGACCAGTGGAAGATTAGCTCTTCAATGAGCTAAACTGGCTCAAGATCACTTTCACTTTCTGTTGGTTAAGAGTGTTCCTGACTCCCTACCATAAACTCCCTACCATAAACTTAGCATGAAAGTTCATTTGAGTTGGTATAATTCTAAATTACCTAATGAGAAATAGACTGCTTTCCAACTCCTGCTGCTAATGCTGAGTGAGAGCTGACATAGATTTTTTTAAAAAATTACTGAAATTTTCAACAGAATATCTTCATCAGTATTTATGAGCCAAGTATTGTAGACATAATTATGATTTTTCAACACTTTGTTGTGACGTCTGAGCACTGGCAACACTGCTATGATGCATGCATGTTGAGCCTTCTCCTATACATGCATATTAAGCAAATGAATGCAAAATTGGTGCCAAATGGCTACCCTTAATCAGGGAAAAGGTTATTATAAAGACTTTTATGTACATTGTAAACGTCAATTAGTAACCTATATCAACATGACATTGTGTAGTTTTGTAGGGTACATGTATACGGTTACATTTTGTAGATGTTATGATCTGCTTGACTGCTCACAATTTCAGTCACCTTTTCATGTAGGTCTCAGGTGGTAATGGGATTAAATCAAGGGGGGCCCGCTTGCCCTTTTCCGTAGAGTGTAATCGGCAGTTCTAATTCTACGTAGAGCGTAGACGGCCCGCTCTAATTCAACGTAGTGTGTAATTGCCGCATTTTGCGTAGAGCGTATTCGCCATTTTACGTAGTGCATTGTAGCCACTTGGAATTCAGCGTAGATTGTTGTCAGGACCCCCCCCCCTTGCAGGCCCCCATCAAGGGGGGAATGGCACAAGGGAGGGGGATCATTCTGACAATTTTGGTGGTAGCTTTGGTACTTTTTTCATATTTTTATGTTTCTAACCTCTGGAAACAGTGATGTACATATTAACATTTGTACTACATAACATTTGTATGTACTACCTAGTAATTTTTGTGGTGTCTTTTCTATCAGTCTTGTGCCCACAACTTGATGAGATAGTGGACGATGCCCGGATCCATCTGCTGAGAGATGGTTCGTATGAAAGCTTCTTCCAAAAGAACGACCTGAAACAAGGAGCAGAGGTCCTCATATCCTGCGCACCTGGCACCACTCTGCAGGGACCGCGGAAGGCTGAGTGTGATGATGGACAGTGGGTGTACAGAGCAGGGCAGGGACAGCCAGTCTGCTCACCAGGTAAAAATCTACTCTGTCTCTGGTACTGACATCAGTTTGCAGCAACATCTGTATGAGCCCTCACTGGAAGATTTACCCTTTTGGGCTAAAGGGCATCAAAAATAAAGAGAAATCCCCAGCTAAGGCAACACCAATATAATTTGTTGTTTTTCAGATTTTTTTTTGTTAAAATATGAAGCGACAGGGCTAAATTTAAAAGGCACCCCATGTTACAATATGAGCCATAAAGTGAACATACCAGGCTGGTTTATAATTAAAACATTATATAGATTTGAACTTTTGATGAAACAAAATTGCATTGTTACGTTGAAAAACTTTAACAACTAGGAAGAAAAGGACTTTTTTCAACCGTTAGGGCCAAAATATGCTATGTCTTTCATTGAGCATTGCAGTTGATTTAGAACCAAAAAAATGTTTTTTTTCCAAATCAGAAGAAATTGGCCAGGACGAATCCGAGAAACAACAAATTAATAAAATAACTTGGTGTGGCCTAAATACATGTGAAAGTTGAGTTATTATTTTGGGTATAAAAATCCTTGTTAAAATGTTTCCAATTGCAACTGTGACTATTCCTAAGAGCAGAAATTGCCATGGATGCCAACAAAACAAATTTGTCATGATTTTTCATGAGAAATGCAGAGAAGTCATGGTTTTCCAAATGTGTTTTTCCATAGATCCGTGCCCTGTAAACGGGGTGAACATTCAGAGTGACCATCCTGATGAAGTTAGACATGCGGAGAGAGTGACGTTCCGATGTGCTGATGGTTTTGAAGTGGAGCCTGGACAGACACAGATAACCCTGACCTGTGAGAGAGGACAGTGGACACCGCAGAATCCCACATGCACTGAAGGTGAGCTGTGCATTGTCAGACTCAGAATTGTCTAGAGTTAGGTCTACAGTTAGTAGGTGTAACAAGTCGATTGGTGTAATGTAGCCAGCTGCCGCTGCGCCACGTGCCTGCGAAGCTGGTGTGTCACGCTGAAAGGTGGTTATACATTGTACCTGCTATACAGATACAGAATGATACAGATCTGATACAGATTCTGAATTCTATTGCAGCAGTACACTTTGGTTCATTTCTTGAACACACATACATGTAGTTGGAACAGACGGAGTCAGTTCTAATTATTTTCCTCTGATTTTTTCTGTTTCTTTTCAGTTTAATATACTGTTACTAAAAATCAGGTAGAAACTCTGTATACAGTGGAATTCAATTCTTTGCTGCCTTTTTTTCACAGTTGACAGAATTTGTTTT